AATATCACTAATAAATGAATCAATATGAAATTATGAATCTTCTGTGTAAAATTTAGGACACATGAAAAAATCAGAAAAACATATTTGTCCTATTTCATATTTCACTTAAATTTAGACCATGTATTATATATAAGACACTATCATGCATGTGTGAATGGCACATTTTATATTTATTACTTATCTTCAATCTGTGCTTCATCCCAGGGACCATAAATATTCCTGAAAATATAAAAGAATAGAATTGAACAACACATAACCTTGAATTTATCAATAGGAATTGATGAAATATCTTAAATCTAATGTACTTTTTGTTTGCAAGGGTTAGCAATTTCGAATACAACTTTTAGAAGCTTTAATTTGATGCTGTAAACTCAGATACCTTTCTAACAGAAAACAAATGTAATAAAATAAATATCCAAGTGAAGACCTAGACAAAATGAGTGTTTTTTATCTTTACTTCTGTCAAACTAAAGTCCATCTAATTCATCTGCCAGACACTAGATAAATCAAATGTCTACCCAACCTAATAGGTTTATTCCTTTGTCTCCTTGCTGGCTTATACTCTCACACCTTCTTAGCCTGTCTCACAACTTCATTGCTCCTGTTTACATATTCTCATATGTGATTGCAATGAGCCCAGTCATTTATTTTTTGTTTGCTTGATGCCTTCACTTTTCTTCAGACAAAACTCCTTCCTAAAGATTTTTGTTAATGTGTGCCCACCCATTTCTTCTTCCTTCTGATCCTTCTGTGTATAAAGTCTAATTCCTTCCCCTTCAAAGAACTTCTCTGTTCTCACACTTCTGAAGGTACCATAGGTTCTCTTTCTCCAATTTTGGCTAACATGATATTCTTCCCATCCCCTCCTTTCTTCAAGTTAGTGTAGGTATGGCAACCATGTCTTAGAGCTCTGGTCTTACAATTCTGCCTCTTCCCCAGACTTCCAGAAGAAGCTGAACTCTCATCAATCTGGTTCAAGGAGGAATAAGAAGTTGTCAAAAAGAATCTTCCTTGGACACTCAGAATCATCATTCTGGTGCCCACTTCTCATTTCCAATGGAAATGGAACCTATGCACTGTGAGATTCAGATACAATTCTTCTCTCACTGTTCTTACAACATCAAAAAAAAAAAAAAAAAAAAAAAAAAAAAAAAAAAAAAAAAAAAAAAAAAAAGCACTTCAAATTTGTGATCTGCAGCACTTATATAGAGTAGATATTTTCTGCAACATTTCTTTTACAAGCTGGGCTACCCTTTCCCTGAAGACAGACTTCTCAACTTTCAGTCTGCAGTTGGCCCATCACTAAGAAAGTCTCATCATCACTCTCTTTGCTACTTCAACTGCAAGCTAATCTCTCTGATATAGCCTTACAAGAACCAGCCCTCACTCTGTCTCCAAGATAAGCACTTATGCCATACTTTGCTCCACTTGTGATAATTACTAGTTTGGTGAGAGCAATGTCTGTCTCATCAACACAACTGCACCATAACTATAATGTAGATAGTAAAATGCCCTCTTCTTAAAGTGTCCTTTGGCAGGGTGAGGGCCTATATAATACTGCGGGTGATCAGACAAGTCCAAATGTAGTTTTGTACACTTTACTGAAAGTATGAAGGGACTGGCACAACCTTAGAAAACTGTGCAGAAAGTTAAAGCCTATTGTGGGGGTTGTGGTATCGTAAGGAGACAACTTCACAGTATGAGAGCTTGACTCGTTCTCTGGCTGGCCTTACCTAGCTTGAGTTAGGCCAGTTAAGAGGAAGAACTTCTGCTCTTGACTTCCCTCCTTCTCTAGAGAGGTCAGTTTCATGACCATTGTGTGGGCTTGGTCAGTTACATGGCTTAGTGCTATTTAAACCAGGATGCCAGGATTGCAAAAATACATGCCATGCCCACTGTTCTTTCTGTTTATTGATATTTTTTATATATGAATGGCTTAAATCAGCAAGGAGAAAATTACTAATCATACTCTATCCCACTTGCTTGCCTTTTTCCTCGATTTTTGTAGAAAATCTTTACTTCTTATTACTGTTCCCAAAGCCGACAAGCATGGCATGTACGTACATGCCATGCCCACTGTGAGGTTACTTGTTTACTGGTTTTTACACATAGATGGCTACACTTGTGAGCCAATTACGAGTACTGCCTGTCTGGCCCGTTCACCCTTTTATTGATTTACGAAAATATTTTGCGTTACCTTATTTTGCTGTTACTAATGTTTATAACATTATAGTAATTATAATGTTTATAATAAAAATAACACCATTGATATTCATAGCACAAGTAAAAAATAAGTTTTTCCCGCCATTTCAAGGAAAGGTGAAATCAGGTAAAGTCACAAGGTCTACTAATTGACTCCTTTGTGGCTAAGCAATAGCAGAGCTATTTATGGGCATGGACCTTTCACCAAAAATATAAAAAATGAGCACAGCATTTTAACCATTTTTTAATTCAATTTTCCCGTCAGCATTGGGTTAATAACATAATAAAAATCATAATATCAGTATTAATAAGAACAACAACATTAGAAAAACAAATACACAGAAGAAAACTACAGCTGACAGTGCATATTTCTAGCCACATGTCTTAGAGATACTGGCATACAACCAATGATCCACTGAGGCTGCATAAGATCCAGCAATTGACATGTCTGTCCTAGCCACAGTAAAGACTACAGGAAATCCAGGTATGACCAAACAGTATGCAATAAGTTTTTCCCGCCATTTCAAGGAAAGGTGAAATCAGGTAAAGTCACAAGGTCTACTAATTGACTCCTTTGTGGCTAAGCAATAGCAGAGCTATTTATGGGCATGGACCTTTCACCAAAAATATAAAAAATGAGCACAGCATTTTAACCATTTTTTAATTCAATTTTCCCGTCAGCATTGGGTTAATAACATAATAAAAATCATAATATCAGTATTAATAAGAACAACAACATTAGAAAAACAAATACACAGAAGAAAACTACAGCTGACAGTGCATATTTCTAGCCACATGTCTTAGAGATACTGGCATACAACCAATGATCCACTGAGGCTGCATAAGATCCAGCAATTGACATGTCTGTCCTAGCCACAGTAAAGACTACAGGAAATCCAGGTATGACCAAACAGTATTGCAAAAAAGCACAGCTTGTCACAAGGAATTAGATTTTTTAACCAAATGCTGATGGGCATGGCATGTACGTACATGCCATCCCCACTGTGAATTTACATATTTAATTGTTTTTACACATAGATGGCTACACTTGTCACCAATGAGCAAATTTTGAGTAATGCATGTCTTGCCTGTTTACCCTTTTCTTTGATTTACAAAAATATTTTACATTATCTTATTTTGCTGTTACCATTGTTTATAACATTATAGGAATTAACACCATCAATATTCATAGCACTAGTAAAAAATATGTTTTTCCCACCAATTCAAGGAAAGGTGAAAATAGGTAAGGTCACAAGGTCTACTAACTGACTACTTTGTGGCTAAGCACTATCAGAGCCATCTATGTGCAGAGACATTTCACAAAAAAAAAAAAAAAAATTAAAATGAGTACAGCTTTTTCCCCATTTTTTATTATTTTTTTCCTGGCAGGATTGGGTTCATTAACCCCTTGGATCCAGGTACTTAGCTGCCAGCACGTGGCCCAAAATCTGGGCATTTGGCTTACTAGAGTGGCCACTCTCATGGGTGTGTGGCTTGTAAGCTGGGTGCATATGAACACTCATGTGAGGTGCCAAGACTTATTGCCTCCCCTCTGTAATGTTATTATCTCTTTTTCTGCATGCCCCCCCCCCCCAATTTTCCAATGTCTGTATTCCTCATCTAATATGCTATATACAGATGGTAATAGACTGTTTTCCTTGCTCAGACTCCATATCATATCTTTAGGTACTCCATAACTAAGTGTTAACAATAAGTCACATTTTGTTATTTGTATATATATATTTTTTATTATTATTATCATCATTATTATCATTCTTCTTGTTAATTTTTGATCATATTCAATATTCTGCAATACACAAGAGCCTCTTCCTAAATGCCCACTGAGTCTAATCACCCTCCAAGAGCTTTGTATACCTGTGGTGAGTCATTCCCACCACTTTGAGCTTCAGCCGAAATTCTCCGTCACCCCTGCCCTCAGCCAAATTCTCATGACGGCTACTTTTCTGTCACTCCTGCCCTCAGCTAAATTCTTCCATGACGGCATATTCACATCACCTGGCTCCCAAACCAAAATTTTTCATGAATTGATGGTCACACCATCCGAAGCTAAGGCGTCATCAGATCTTCTTGAATAATGATGTCAATTTGAATATGTTTAAATTTCATCACTACAGAACTGACAGGAGCATGTGATTAGGATTAACCCATTCACCACACGTGGCAAGAATAGATGCCCTGCCCACTTTGATACACGTTTATTTATTGTATTTACACATAGATGGCTCCACAAGTTCTTAATCACCAAATAGCCAGTTTATCAGAACTACCTATTTCACCTGTTTACCCTTTTCCTTCACTTTAGGAAAGAGTTTTTTGTATCATATCACTGTCTAAAATATTCTAATGACAATTTAATAATCATGACATCAGCAACAATAATAACAGTATCGATAACAATAGTATTAATTTTCCCGCCAATTCAATGAATGGGAAAATCAGGGTCGGTAACTAGGGCCTACAGATAGACTCCTTGCCGGCTGAGCACATGTGGAGCCATCTGTATGTAACAAAATTCACCAAAAACTACAGAGGACAGAACATAAATCCGTGGCGAATGGGTTAACTCAAAATTTCCAGTGCCCAAGGACTATCAAATGACTCCTCCTCTACATCAAAACTTGCACAATTCAGAACTACATCTCAGAAGTCAATGACATCTACTTACTTCTACTGCATCACACTTATCACACTTTTAAAGAAACTGTGATTAGCCATACCCTTCATTAAGAAAAGAAATGAAAGTCAAATAAAAATATAAAACTACAATTACTATAAAATCAGTTGTTTTCCAATTTGCTAACAACTGCTCCATATGTTCTGTTAAGTACAACTACATATAACTACAATCAGAGCAGATGTTATGGTTGTCAGAAATATAGAGTATATGCAAGTGAATACAAATAATTGGCAATATATATGCATAGAAACAAAATAAAGCTATGAGTATAGTACTCAAATAAAGTGTGACCTATTCATCTGCCATTAGAATCACTATCTTATTTTAAGAAGTTATTTAAATAGTTAAGAAGACTTTGTGGGGGATGGTCTTCTAAAAAACATTGACGGTTTAGTAGTTTTTATTATTATTATTATTATTATTATTATTATTATTATTATTATTATTATTATTATTATTATTATTATTATTATTATTATTATTATTATTATTATTATTATTATTATTATTATTATTATTATTATTATTATTATCATTATTATTATCATTATTATTATCATTATTATTATTATTATTATTATTATTATTATTATTATTATTATTATTATTATTATTATTATTATTATTATTATTATCATTATTATTATCATTATTATTATTATTATTATTATTATTATTATTATTATTATTATTATTATTATTATTATTATTATTATTATTATTATTATTATTATTATTATTATTATTATTATTATTATTATTATTATTATCATTATTATTATCATTATTATTATCATTATTATTATCATTATTATTATCATTATTATTATCATTATTATTATCATTATTATTATCATTATTATTATCATTATTATTATTATTATTATCATTATTATTATCATTATTATTATCATTATTATTATTATTATTATTATTATTATTATTATTATTATTATTATTATTATTATTATTATTATTATTATTATTATTATTATTATTATTATTATTATTATTATTATTATTATTATTATTATTATTATTATTATTATTATTATTATTATTATTATTATTATTATTATTATTATTATTATTATTATTATTATTATTATTATTATTATTATTATTATTATTATTATTATTATTATTATTATTATTATTATTATTATTATTATTATTATTATTATTATTATTATTATTATTATTATTATTATTATTATTATTATTATTATTATTATTATTATTATTATTATTATTATTATTATTATTATTATTATTATTATTATTATTATTATTATTATTATTATTATTATTATTATTATTATTATTATTATTATTATTATTATTATTATTATTATTATTATTATTATTATTATTATTATTATTATTATTATTATTATTATTATTATTATTATTATTATTATTATTATTATTATTATTATTATTATTATTATTATTATTATTATTATTATTATTATTATTATTATTATTATTATTATTATTATTATTATTATTATTATTATTATTATTATTATTATTATTATTATTATTATTATTATTATTATTATTATTATTATTATTATTATTATTATTATTATTATTATTATTATTATTATTATTATTATTATTATTATTATTATTATTATTATTATTATTATTATTATTATTATTATTATTATTATTATTATTATTATTATTATTATTATTATTATTATTATTATTATTATTATTATTATTATTATTATTATTATTATTATTATTATTATTATTATTATTATTATTATTATTATTATTATTATTATTATTATTATTATTATTATTATTATTATTATTATTATTATTATTATTATTATTATTATTATTATTATTATTATTATTATTATTATTATTATTATTATTATTATTATTATTATTATTATTATTATTATTATTATTATTATTATTATTATTATTATTATTATTATTATTATTATTATTATTATTATTATTATTATTATTATTATTATTATTATTATTATTATTATTATTATTATTATTATTATTATTATTATTATTATTATTATTATTATTATTATTATTATTATTATTATTATTATTATTATTATTATTATTATTATTATTATTTTTATTGTTATCATTATTATTATTATTATTATTATCATTATTATTATTATTATCATCATTATTAGTCTATTTTCATTATATTTTTGTTTTTTATTATTATTATTATTATCATCATTATTAGTACTTTTATTATTATATTTTTATTTATCATTATTATTATCATTATTGTCATTAATATTATTATAATTATAATTATCATCATTATCATCATTATTACTATCACTAATAAAATAGACATAAGAAAGACGGAAAAATTCCATGTCAGTGACAATTAGTCCAAACAACACATCACTGAAAATGGACACATACCCTACAGTATTTCCTGAACCCTGGGAAGAGGGCAAACAGAGCCACAGCCAGAGTCATCAGGGCAAACACATCCCTGTCACTTCCAAGTCTAGACGCGAGACATACTGATGCAAATACTCCCAGGTTGTGTGACACTGTTGGATTTACTCTGAAAGAGGATTTTGTCATATTATTTGTACTTATTGCTTTGTAAATATAGATATCAATATGTATCAATATGTATGTGTATGGGATGAAAGAAATAACTGAAATAAATCTTTGGAGACTGAAGAGAACAAAAGGATAGGATTCGATAATTCGATAGGACTAAGTAGGAAGCAAAAAGGGCAGTAGCCATCGCTAGAAGAAGATGAAGATGAAGAAAGAAAATACAGAGTTGCAACGAGTAGAAATAAATCAAGAAAGCAACTACATTTATTTCCATAATTAAGGACAATTCTTAAAACAGGGTTACTAAGTGAATGCAACAAAATGAGAGAACTTACATTGCAACAAGAGCACCATAGTCCTGGTGGACAATCCTTAACAGGAGCAATGCAGTTGTACAAGCATTAATTGTGTCTGTGGCAACACTGCCTGTCAAACTCTTAACCACTGGTGATGCACAAGAGATCAGTACTACATAGAAGCACACCAATTTGATATTATCTCTGGCTGAAAAAGAAAGAAAGAATGAAAGAATGAAAGAAAGAAAGAAAGAAAGAAAGAAAGAAAGAAAGAAAAAAGAAAGAAAAGAAAGAAAATAAAAAAATAATAATCAATTTAAAATAAACCAGCAGATAACCATTTCAACTTTTTATACCTAAAATAATGAATATAAGTGACTGTAACAATAGCCATAAAAGTATACTTATGAAATATATTTAGGAAATATAACATTAGAGCTCTTTAGACTATACTGACTATATGATAATTATCTTTACCAATCGATATCAAGGTATTAAGACATTAATTATAATTCCATTACTCATGCAAAAGTTATACTGGATTCCCATTTACTCTGTAGTTCACAATATATTCCCCTGTGTTTAATATTAAATAATTACAGTGTCTTATAAATCCAATTTTCCCAAATGCATATAGAATAACATTTAAAATGTCTACACAACTAAAATAGTTACCTGAAGATTTGAGCTGAGATCTGGTAATGAAATATCCTGTAACACCCAGAACAGCTGTGAATATCAAAACACTTGTAGCTTTCATGTGACCTTCTGAAAGCCCACAGAATACTGCAACCAGGATGAGACAGCTGAAATGTGAATAATTAATGTAAAAATAATTCACCTACTGTTATAAATACAAGAAGCCAAATAACCCTGTACCAGTAATTAGCCTAATGGCTAAATCTTAGTGATCTCAATCTGTGCGATAATGAGCATTACTTACGTATGAGTAGATGGGTAATGTCTATGGAGCTAGTTAGATCCTAGTTGCACAATGCTTTTAGTGGGTCATGTGGTTCGTTTAGTACTGGTCCTCTGGTTCATAATTGGAGTGCCCTAGGTTTGAGTCCTGGTCAGGGAGCATTGATATATACCTATATCAATGCACTATTGCATTATTCTACTTTCATATATGTTTCAGTACATCTGACTTGTTTCGTATTTCTAAACAAATTTCCACTGAGTACTCATGAGGGAGTGTGTTTAAAATCTCGCTATCATTACTCATGTATGAGTAGATAGGTAATGTCTAGTTAGACCCTAGTTGCACACTCCTTTTAGTGGGTTGTGTGGCATGGTTGATTTAGTACTGGTCCTCTAGTTCATACCTGGAGTGACCTAGGTTTGAGTCCTGGTCAGGGAGGGTTATATAAATATTACCAAAAAACAAAGAAAATGGTAAACAGGTGAAATATACATAATTAGCAATAGACTCCATGATGGCTAAGCTCTTGTAGAGCCATTTATGAGTATTCATAATAAACTAAACTCGTAGTGAGCATGGTACGTATGTAGGCTACATGCCATCCCTGGCTGCAGTGAGTCAAGGGGGCTGTCTAAACAGGTATAAGCTCCCATGGTCAAAAACAAGTTAAAGATAGTCTTACACTTATGCCTACATGAAAAACTCCCCTATGAATGCTAGGCCCCAAATACATTTCCTTCAGGGTAATGGGATGATACTGCAATTGTCTGTTGTTGGATTTTCACTTATTTTTATTATATATATATTTGTTAAAACTGATCCTACAGCATATTATTGCAACATTACCATTTGGTTTGACTTAGAATATGTCTAAACTAATGCTTTATTCTAGATATGAATGGATTAGTGTGAAAGATGACAATCGATAAAAACAACAACAATAACAACTAAGAGAAAATCAAAGAAAACTGGTAGGTCATTCAACTGTTAGAGCCTTTGTGTACTTGCAATATGGCTTGTATGTGACTTCCTGGTGATATGTCTTTCTTGTTCATGCATGACATTTATAAAGTAACAAGTACACAGAAGAATTAATAAGAATAAAACAACAGAAAAAGTATGCTAATATATGATTATTATCTTTTTCCATGCCACTATCACTAAGGTATGAATCATACACAAAATAATTACATACACTTAGTAATGGTACCTATTATACTTAAAAAATGTGGGTTTCTAAATTGGTTCTCTTAACCCATTGCCGCCGGGGAAAATTAACAAAAAATGGGGAAAATTCTGTACTCAATTTTTATATTTTAGTGAAATATCTCTGCCCATAGATGGCTCTGCTAGTCCTGATTTCACCTTTCCTAGAATTGGCGGGGAAAAACGTATTTTTACTAGTGCTATAAATATAGATGGTGTTATTTTTAACAGCAAATTAGGATAACGTTAAATATTTTCGTAAATCGATGACAAGGGTGAACGGGCGAGACAGGCAGTACTGTAATTGGCTCATTGGATACTTAGTACAAGTGTAGCCATCTATGTGTAAAAACAATCGAACAAGTCGACTCACAGTGGGCATGGCATGTACGTACATGACATCCCCGGCGGCAATAGGTTAACATTTTACTATATTTAAAAAAAGAAACCACCAATGGTATTGCAATGTTTCATTACATAGTACACATCTTAAACTGTCTTTCCATATTCACATCAGTATTATAGACTAAAAAATAATAGTAAAAATAACAAAGAAAACACCAAACCATGGATACAATTCCATAACTTTTTTTTTAGTTGGAAAGACCATTTAAACCTAACTGTCATCTTCTGGTTATTTTATTTTGAAATAATAAGAAAAATGTAAAGGCATTTTTTAACCTTTTGGGTCAAAACTGTGTAACTAAAACTGAAAAAGGAAACTACATAATTGGAAGACAACAGTCTGATTAATAGTTTTTACAATATAATTTTCATGTCTTTTTGAGCTATGATGTAAATGTTATTTCCCCCTTAAGTCCTACAAAAATATCATGCACATTATCAGTTTGCAAAAGGGAGCAATTACTCCCATTTGTTGATAACTAAAGGCACTATAGGCCAAAAGAAGCACAATTGTATGGTCTACAAAAGGTAAAAAAATCACGCTGCAGTTTCAATATGTAATACTTTTAAGGACAAAATATCAGCTTATCGACAGATGGTCTCTATAAAACATCATCAGGAAAACCTATAAATAGACAAATAAATATAAAACCAATAAATACAAAGCTACCAAAATGTCATTAATCCTACACAGTTACAACTAGAATATAACTGCTAAAATTCTCAAGGTCTGGAGTTATAATACAAAAAGCATTCCAAATCACACTCATATGGTCATGGAACAAGGAAATATCTTTGACTGTCAATTGAAACTGGCAGAAAAGGTCAAATATATAAGGCTTATATAGATCAGTAGGGGTACCTGCATATTTCCTGGGTAACAGCTGTTGCTGAATAAAAAGCTTGTCCGTATGTGACTTCACGACCTGAAATGAAAAAGTATGCATGTTACAAATGCTAAAACCATAGGCTAAACACATAGACTAAAAAGAATACGCTTTTTTAGTTGGACACAAATCTATATTCTTAGTTAGATAATTAATGTTTAGGATAAATTTTCTTTAAACAAGTCATATTCTTATGTTCAGTAAATTGAAAAATTGTGATAGCAATCAAACAAATAAGATTTCATACATATGATTTTTATTTCAGTGCTTGAATCACTTAATTATACTCACCGACTTAAAAACTACAAATGCATGTTGGATTGTAAATATTCCCTTAATACAATGAAGAAAAAAAACAGCATAATGAAATGAAGGAACTTTGTTGGAATATATTCAGGCTAAAGAATAACCATTTAAACTGAAAGAACCTGGATAAGGTATATAAAATATAAATACTAAATCTTACCTTAAGCTAGGGAACTTGCACTAGCAAGCACTAGGTCAGAGAGACTTGAAAGTTCCTATTTACATAAGGAATGAAACAAAAGACAAACAAACCTCAGCCATATTCTGGCAGGACATTGCTGAAACTGGCTCCATATCTGACCATGAATTGCAAAGGTCTAAAAAATCTATCTACCTGTTATAGAGGTTTGACAACCACTGCTGATGTTTTTTCATGTATAATAGGGCTATTTTCTGTGTCCTTTGTTATCATTAGTATTGATTTTTTCTATCTGCATGTAAACAAATCTAAAAAAAAAAAAAAAATCATGAATTGGTTAAATTACTTTAGAAAAAACTGTTAAATATGTTGAGAATAGGCTTAACTTTGAAATGTCACTCAACACTGTTAATAAAGTGGCATACTATATCTATTATCTATTAAATGCCTTATTTATATCTACCACTTTTATCATACTACCGAGCTTTAATCTTAAATTGGTAGTTGTGATAGTCTAGGATAGGTAACAGTAATGTTATATAAGGAAAATCAAGAGCTTTGGTGCTATACATAAAAATAATCTGTAGAACATTTTCAATCAATTAACATACATAAATCAATACATGAATAATTAAATTCAGTGATGCCATGGCCTCTGCTCTTTGTGATCTAGGAGAGGCAGACATACTAATGGGTCAGCATGGGGAATATCTTCTTGTACATTTGGTTTATTTTTTTGTATTGTCAAACACTGTATTTACATCTTATTTCTGTAACGTTCTAGAACTGATCCAAGCCTTATAATCTACTAAATTTGGGATCAGTGGATTTCTCACAATGTTTAGTGTGCATTTATGGTAATTTTAGTTGGCAGTAACAATAATAGGAAAATTTAATGGCAGGAGGGACAAGTGGCAGGTTAAGATTATGAAGTATTTAAGTATTTTTGTTATTGCTAGGGAGCTAAGCCCCTCAAAAAAAATCCCTTATGGTAAGGTTGCTCCACCAGCCCCCTGCCTAGAATGTAAAATCTCTAGTACATCTGATAAATCTGAGATATGCCTCTCGTAAGTAACATCATAACTCAGCTGAGATGGAGGATCCATAAAGTTAATTTTTCAAGGTTCATTCAGATCTGTATTTTTGTGCAAGTTATCTGAGTTTACAGTTATTTGTATTCCATTCATTTATTGATTCCACCAAATATTACTTCTATACTTGGTTGTTTAATATTAACAGAAATCTAATGATACTTAACTCAAATCCGACAGGCATGGCATGTACGTACATGCCATACCCACTGTGAGTTTACTTAGTTAATTGTTTTTACACAAAGATGGCCAATTATAAGTCCTGCCTGTCTTGCCTGTTTACCCTTTCCCTTGATTTTCAAAAACATTTTATGTTATTGGGGTGTTACTAATGTCTATAACATTATAGTAATTATAATGTGTATAATAAAAATAACACTACTGATATTCATAGCATTAGTAAAAAAATGTTTTTCACGCTAATTCAAGGAAAGGTGAAATCAGGTAAGGTCTACTAATTGACTCCTTTCTGGCCATACTGGGTTAATTTGATGAGTTTTAAGATATATGCTCATATTCACAGACACTTTGGACACCTTTTACTAAGTGCTGGACCTAGAGTCTCATGCCTGTCATCCACTCACAGTCAAGCTGTCTCATGCTGCATCCAGTTGACCTGCCTCATGTTGCATCCTGGCAGTAGTGGACCTCCCCCAAAAAAGGTGTCTGAAGTGTCTCTCTGAATATCAACAACAGACCTGTTTTATCATTTTACCCTTATTTCCATAAAGATGTTACAAGCTGCTTCTGCTTGATCTAACAAAATTGAGATGATAGGTATAGAGATATAACTTAATATAACTGCATAAATTATATGATAACAGATTCATATATAATCTCTGTGTTCATTATAAGTCTGAAATACTGAAATTAAAGTCTGTCTTGCAAGCAATGGAAAAATAAACAGCATAACCATACAAAAAGGTATAAGTGGTCTCTCATTAGTATATAGAAAGGTGATGTGTAATGACTATTTTTCCGAGAGTTATAGTCATGCATGTGCAGTGTGGAATTCTCTAACTCTACTCTACTGTAATCACAGTACCAAATAAGTCACTATATTGTCTAATGCAGGGAGCTGTGCCCACTGTGACCTCTCCTCCTGGGGGGCTGCTGCACATAAACTGCCGCCCAGGAAAACAAAGAATCCTCCTTGTACTCATGGCAGGAGAGAAACCAGGCACTGGGTGCTTCAGCATGTTGGTCATTTGCTCTACCCTGCTGTGGGCAGAGCAAGAATTCCACACTGTGCAACTCCCGTAAAACTACTTATCAGACCACATTACGTTACATGAATATTGTCACTCTGATATAGAAAACCTTAGGAAATGACTGTTCTTTTCAAGTACTATTATCTCGAAGTCCCTCCCGGCTGCCAGTCAAGTCATACCTCCATGCACAGCAAAGCCCAATGTTATCATAAAGCATAAAATCCATGACGATAAAAAAAACCATTAGAAATAACCCACAGTAAATTAATCTACATTAATAAACCATACACCATAACAAAAAAACATAAACCATTAGTAAACCATAAACCATAACAAAAAAAACAACTAACGTTTCTTGCTGACTCTGAGGAAGGAGTCGCCCACGTAATTATCTGGGTAAGGCTGCTTCTTCCACAGCACTCGACTCCACTCCGTCATTTCTCCTTCTGCACATCGCAATAGGCCGATTTTAAGGACGATTTGGCATTTCGCGAGGGACTGACAGGGAGATGGGATAACCAGGCTCGGCCAAGGGGAGTTCGGTTTATATATTGTAT